ATATCACATCACTAGTAATGCTAGAATGCAACTGACATGATCGAACAAAATTCCATTAAATTTTTAAAACAAATGAAATATAATTAGCTCATGTTCATTTCCAAGGTAGCTAAAATTTTTTTAGAAAAAGAGGCCAAAAAAACTTTTAATAAATTATTACAAAAGGATTGACCTTGATTTAAATAATCATGGCAACTATTCTCAACATTTGATAAAATAAAATTGAAAATATCTCATTATCTTTATATTACTATTTAATGAGATGAGAAATTTTGGTCAGACGTAAGTAGCACGTTCGTGAGACGTGCCATAAGACAAAAAAACCTTACAAGTATTATGTATATGTGCTCTTCATTCTTTCTTTCTTGACGTACGCATGATGTCATTAACTAAAATTATATCTTTCTTTCTGTTGGGTTTCTTTAAGCATTTACTAGTTTTCTTATTTAACTTATGCATTTGTATATTGTATTGTTATTTTTTGATGAATCTCATCATCTATACTTAATATAAATAGTTGATATTGCTATTATATTTCGATAATAAACTAGTCTTCAAATATTAATGTTAATGAGATTGATTGTGTTTAGATATGTTTTCAAATACAATCAATAATGAATATAGAAAAACAAGAATAATATTTACTTCATATTATATCAAACAATGTATAAATCAACAATATAAAGCTTAATTACTTTTTTAACAAATTAGAGATAGACATAAGAAAATATAAAATATTCGTATTGAATAATTTGCATAAGATGTCTAAATCGAAGAGTATTTTTCGGGGATCAACAAGTACACATGACTGAGCTTTTATTTAGATGTATACTAATATAACCAATTTTTCAATGAAAAAATTGTCGAACGAAACAGAAAAGCATACTATAATGAGATAAATTAATTTAATGTATTCATCCAAGTAATGACTTTTTCAATAATAGAAGACGTAGTAATTCTTTGTATAATGTCGACGAATAGGAATAGATTTTTTTTTTGAATATATAACTACAATAATCATCTCGAGTGACATTTGAATCATGTATACTATTCAAGAGAACAATACAGTTTTTACAAAAAAAATTACATCGAATATAAATCGAGGTCTGTTGTGAGAAAACAAATGAAAAGATTTACGAATAATATTGTATGGAGCCATTCATAAAAAACTTCTAGTATAAAAAAAACAACCTTCTAGAAAGAGCCTGATTCTTCAAATAAATTGCTTTCTTTTTATTAAATAAAGATATAAAAAATAGAAATGAATAAATACATATTGCATAAACAACGAACAAAAATCTAGCCTATTGTAAAGTTTTTGTTTTTTAAATACATTGTATTTTAATAAGCAGAAAATTGTCAAAAACAAAAAATCAAGTTTAATATAAATGGTACTTACACATCTAACAACGTTCATATGTGACTATTCAAGAAAATAACTATCTGCCCATATGGGATAATTTTCCATTATTTCAACAACTGCTTGATTCAGTTCATTTACTATTTGAAAGTGCTCTTCAAAACAAATCAACGAGAGAACCTCTTCAGATAGTAAATCGCTTTTCGAGCGAGACGATATTCATTTGATGAGTGCTAGAGAGTAATAGAAAAGTTTAGAATAGTGTGGTTTTCTGAATTTTTGTTCTCGAGATATCCAAATTTTAGTGAGTTTTTCAACAAAAAGTTGTAGTCCTCCTCAGATCAAATGAAAAATCGATTTTTGACTTCAAACTTTGTCCGAACAACGTTCTTAATGAGATTAGTTCGTTGGATAAGCTATAATTTTTCTAGTATCTTCTATCCAGAGATATTAAACGTTCGGAAAAAGCGACAATTGGGTGGCATCAGTTGGTCGCATGTTTGACAGAAGAGTGATTCCTAATTCACTTTTCACAAGCCTCAATTTCTAGATGTGTAATTCAATCAAATACAGCACTACACGAGAATGATAGTGGTATGTGAAAAAGCAGATTCATCCTATAGAATGGATTCATAGATCTCATTCGGCTGGTAAACGATTATTGAATGTTGACATCTAAATTTTGAATTTATTGAAATTTGACGAAAAAACAACAAGTACATTAATTGTCGAATAGCGAAAACCGCAGCAAATAGAAGCTTTAAAAAAATGAAAAAGTATATGGGTTATGCAAAGTTTTTAAAGCAATTACTGCTTTCTCTTGTGAGGTTTTATACTGGATTAGAAGAGCTTATTAAACCTTTGTAATTATACTCATATATTATGTTCGTTGTGCTTGAATAGATTGTTAGCTATTTTTTGGATCTCTCTGAATTATTCCTTTATAATATTAAGAAATTGTTTTTCTCGATTTTATTTTTTAGCATTACGATCAATTCTATACAGCGTCTAACTGTCACTTCAAACAATTGACGTAGACCTGAAAGTTCGAAATTCTCTCATGTGTAAAACTAAATGTTGTTCATATCTAAGTTTGAATTCGAAAGTGAATTCTTTTTCGCGTGACCCGACAAGAATCACAGCTTTTTGTTGGAAAACCAGGTAAAAATGATCTGATAAAATAACCATCAAATTTTCCTCACTCAGAAAACATTATAAAATGAAAATATCCCAGCACTATACAACTATCCTGATGTTGGTTTCTTGAGATCTAGTCTCTCTTGTGGACAAAAACTTTAGAAATATCAAAACTCGTTGTACTCTCTTAAAAAAACAGACAACTAACGAGGGAATCTCCCAGATATCCTTCCCGGATTTCAATGGATTTTTGCCTTTTGATACTAAATGTCTCTAAAGAAAAAGATGTCATACTGAACCTTTGAAACTTCTACCCCGGTAAAAAAAAAACAGTCCATTCAACACACTTACTCTAGTAACTGCTGATCAATTCTATATCCGACGTATTTTATCTATCTTTAATCCCTTATTTCTGTTCTTGACTTTTTATTCTTATATCTAACCTCTTTTTTTTTCATCCTTAAGTTCTAAATTCTATATTTCACCCATATCAATATATTTAACCGTTATTCCTATATCTAGTCCATTATTGTTATATCCATCTCCTTATTTCTACGGTTACTCTCTCATTGTTATGCCTAGCTCATTAGTCCTATATTTAACCTTGTAATTTTATATATAGTATATCTTATTTCTATGCTTGATCCCTTAATTTCATACTTAATCCTTAATTTGTATATATAACCCTTTAATTCTATTTAAAAGTACTATTTAGTATTTTTAAAATCATGAAAAATACTAAGAATTAGTTCTATATATGCGGGAAGTACAAAAAAGCAATTCTGAAAGTATAAAAATGGATATAATTTGCTTCATAATTTCGAAAAATACTATTTAGTACTTTTGAAAGGATCACAAGTCTTTCTAATTCCTTTTTTGAAACTCACAAGTACAATAAAGTACATCATAAAATGTAAAAATTAATACGACTCACTTCATCAATGAAGAAGTACCAATAAATACTTCTAAAAGTGAAAAAAAAACGTACTAAAAGTTATAAAAAAAAAATGAAAAATAATAGGAAAATTTAATTTTTTCCACTTTATCAATATTAAAAGAATGTAAAAGTGTTTTTTTTTTCACTTTTTCTTTTACATGGGATTTCATTTTATAATGTTTCCAGAATGAGCAAAAACTTGATGATTTTTTGACCAGGCTCTTTCTAGTACATTGTATTTGCGGAATATATTATGACAATCTAAATAATGAGATACCATTCCATTTATTTTAGTGTTGATAAAGATGTTTAGCCTCGATATACTTTGATAATGAATGCGTTTATTTCATGTGTTCAATTTGTTGATCACCTATGAAGAAACAGATGAATTTCAAAGACTATTTTTAAATCGTAAATAGTTTGAAATAATATATTTTTATCATGATTTTTCAATGATATTTTGAAAAATAAAAACAATAATCTTTGAATGAATGTCACATTTTAGTGATTCTGGGTCAAACCCAATAATGTACCCAATGTTTTATTGCCTTGCAATAGTTTTTTTTGCATACAAAGAACGAAAAATCACGATTACGTCTAGCTTTACATTTATATATATACGCTTATCTATTGACATGCATGTTTTTAATTGATAGATGACCTTAAAGAAATGAAAGACAAATACAAAAAAAAACAAAATACAACAATATAAGGGTTAGATTGCTGTTCCACTATTCGTTGAGAACTATTAAAAATTCTTATATGTATATTACATAGTTTTTTCTTTCATTTATTTTTCATTGTTATAATGCTTTTTCTTTTGCCATCGTTATTCTGCATTTGCCAATTGAATGTACATATTTCACTTCAAATGCTAAGTGAATAAAAATTTGACATCTTAGAGCTGTACATTGTAGAATCTACACGTGTGCACGAAAGCTTGTTTCAGAAAATTTTTCTCAGACTAAAGAAATTTTCGAAAAAAAATTGTGTTCGAAGAAATTTTTTTGAATTTATTTTTTAGGAATATTTGTTCAAAACTATTGAGCCTATGGAAATTCTTCAAGTTATTTCTTTCGTTCAGAGAAATTATCTTTTTTACGACAGATTCTGCATCTCTGTGTTAGAGACACATAGAATGGACCCAAATGAACATCTGACATTAAAGTCTTTTCTGATATAGCGACGGCTGTCGCATAAAATTCACCAGTAAATAACAAGTAATAATCAATGAGTCATATATATGTATTGAATTGGTCTCTTGTTCTTCCTTTTTGCAAGGGTTATTTGAATGAATAGGATGAAGACTATTTTTCCTCTTTCTTCCTTACTATTATTAGTTACTATGTCTGCCAATTTATTTATCGACGAACAAAGTGTACCCGAAAACCCTCAAGAGTTATGGGTACTATATATATATATAGTTTTATTCTTTTTTCTCTCTGTCATACTAACAAGACGGGTTATTATTTTTGTTTATTCATGGTAACGTTTATATTTATATTGTCTACGTTGTAATATATATATTCATATAGAATAAATAGTTCTTACGTTAACCTACATCCGATGTCTCGTAAAACTATAATAGCAAATACTAATAACAGTCTCAATGCTTCATTTTTATCAAGTAATGATAAAGTAATGCAATACTTACAAAATTCAGGGCATTGTTCAACAAATACCCATATTAACAATAATAATAATTATAATGATAATCCATTACTTGATCATCAGAAAACATCTTCACATGCACATGATTTATTTTATGTAAAAGATACACTTAAGAACACTAATCATTATCCATATCAACATCGTATGCATTCTTGTTCAGAAAATAGTTCACCAGCATCTAATATTGATACATTATCACGATTTGATATTACTTGTGCTTCTAGTTTGTTTAATGTCGGTAGACGGTGTAGTACGTTTAGTTCAAATACATCATCATCCGGTATATGTAGTACGTTTTCTGACATTGAACATGAAGAAAGTACATCAACACCACCAGACGACTTTGATTTTAACCTTGGCTTTGAGCAGATTAGTGATAATGATGAGTTTGAAATAGATGATCTTGATGAAATCGACGAATATGATGAATATGAACAAAATGAAAGAAATAATCAACGAATCTCAAATAAGAATAGTGGTAATTAATAAAATAAAATAAAATAAAACTCTATTTTCTATTGTTTTTCATCTAAGATAAAGTAACATTACTCGATTCTGGTGAATCAAATTCCGATGTATGCAATAATGAATATGAAGGATTTCTTCATAAATCTTATAATTCAACAACTCCTAATGATAATATTGCATTTAGTAATGATCATCAAATAGAACATAAACAAATAAAACAACAAAAACAACAACTGTGTGCATCGTTACTACATGATTCAACACATACATTGAATTCATCAGTTCGTTCTTCAGTGTATACTGAAAGCGATGATAATGAAAAAGATAAAGTAGCACATGCTATTGGCACACGTTCGAATTCATTGGGTATTGCTGTATTAAATAAAAAATCAGCTTTATTGGATAAAACATCAAAAAAAGTTGTTCGTTTCGCCGATACGTTGGTATGTTTTGTGTGTCTTATGAATAGATAACAGCAGTGTCGTTTTACATAAGATACGAAAAACGTTTTTCAAAGATCGTGTGAATGAAATAAAAGTGGTACAAGGTCAGAAATTGTTATCGTTAGCGTAGGGTAAGATAGAGCCAGAATACTCAGAAGGAAAAGAGAAATATGCAGTAGAGCTTACAAGGCAACTATATCATTATCCTACCCTGGAACATAGAATGAAGTTAAGAGGAGAAAAAATGTAGGCTAGAATAAAATTATTAGGTTCTATAGCGTGGGTAGAGTTAAGACAAGATAGCCGCAGAGTAGAGTAGGGACAAAGTGAATAAAAACTCCATAAAATATGGTAAGGCAGTGAAGAAAAGCTTATGCTGTACATCTCTAAATAAACTGGAATGGAGATAGATGTCCACACAAGTATTTTTTATGATTTTTGAGAGAACTTTGTTGTCTTTGAAAATATTTTACGTTATCCAATTATCAACAAAAGTACAATCATTAAATTTTCATTGATTTTTCAAAATATAAATTGATACATTTCAGTACTAACTTTATTAAATAGAAAACTTGAAATATTTTTCCTTTTGCTCATGTTTCAATGTAAAGAATTTCAAAGTTTGTAGTTTGAGCCTATTGTAACACAGATGTACATTCCTTCAATGGTCAACAATACACATAAACATGTCTTCTAGAGTTTTTTTTTATAGGTCTTTTCTTATTTTAACAGGGAAATTAATGCGAATATCAAATGTTCTTATGTTTGGTGTCAAGTAGTCTTCTGACGAGAGTTCATTGAGAGAAAAAAAGAGCACCAGAATCGTTCGATTTTTCAACCTTTCAAAGTTTGTGATAGCTATTTCATTAATGAATATTAGAATTCTTTTTAACTGCTAACTTCAGTCTTCTTCTAATTTTAATTGACGATCTATGTTTTTCTAAACAGCTGAGATTGCATCATTCCATGTTACACATTTGCTGGTACCACTACTGATATGCCGACAGTAGATTGCCGATCTGAGAAGAACTACCGGTATACTACAATAGAATGGTGGTCAAAAAACAATAGCCGACCGTTTACATATTAAATAACCGCTAATCTAGTGCAGATTTTACCAAACAGTCTATCAGATGGTTTTTCTTCCAGTCTGAATTACATAGAATTTCATCATATAGCTTGTTCTATTCGCTTGTAGTTTTGATTTAAAATTAAAATTAATAAAAACCTATATTTGTATTCCAAACTTTTCAATTATTCATAAAACTCAGAAAAGAATACTTAATTGAATAAATTGATTCAATGATTCTTTTTTGGAAGATTCTCGTTGAACTTTGTTCTGCATTTATTCCAATGGAAGAAAAATATTTATTGCAATTCGAACTTATAATAATATGTATAGATGACGTTTCGAAACAATATAATATTAAGATATGTTCCGAATTTATAAAATTAAATAATAAAAGAGAATTATTCAAAACTTAAGGATTAGTTGTTTTTTATTAAATCTATAGTCATTCTTGACATTTAATGTTTAGTTAAAACTGAAATAAATATCGTCTGTAATATAGTAGGCATTATATTTATTTGTTACTTTTAGGGTCTTGATCTAGAATCTATTCGTTATATGACTCCACCAGATCAATCAGCAAATTCACTTATTCAAGAATGTATCCGAAATAAACTTGAACAATTATGGGTAGTCAAAGGTCAATCAAATTCATTATCTACATCTCCATGTCCTTTTGGCCTTTCAAATGTTTTTAATCGATCGTCTCCATCTACATCTTTCAATGCCTCTAAAAAATCAACAAATCAATATTATTTAGTTTCAAAATACTTTACTTCTAGAACAAAAGTTTTCCCGTTAATATACGAACAACAAGTAATGCTTGAATGTTTATATACAAAAGATTCAATAGCATATGGAACAGTTCGTGTCCATAATTGTGCTCATGACAAACGTGTTTTTGTTCGTATTAGTAAAAATGATTGGAAAAACTTTCAAGATATATATGGATTGCATTCAATGAATTGTCCAAATGACATTACAGATACATTTATATTTGAAATACGTCTAGACAAATATGATGATAAAACATCAGTTCCCAAACAAATTTATTTTGCCATTTGTTTGCAAACCAATAATCAAGAATTTTGGGATAATAACTGTGGACGAAATTATGCGTTAGATGTACTTGAAAGGTAAAGCAAAAAAAAGACTAAGAATAACCCAGTTTTGTTTCTATCAAAATTAAATTTCTTACATAAAGGCTAATAATAATAGATTTCTTCGTATTGGTTTAAGAATAGATACCGAATGTTGTTCCTTGGTTGTTATCATAATGACGCTGACTCTTTGAGTCTGAAACACTAGAAGAAGTTTAATATTGATGTAAGACTGAAGAAGAAAAATACTCTTGTCTTTCGACTACCTTGCGATATCAGGTGCTACCTAGCAGCAGATTCAGTTATCCGATATCTTTGTTATACTTAATACTAGCTACAGCCATGGACATAAAGACCCGTCTTATGCAGAGTTCTTGTGCTCAAGGATGAATGATTCGAGACAGACGATCGTTAGTGACTTGCCCAGATCCAACGCATGGCTGGTAGTACCGAGGTTTGAACATAGTACGTATTGAATACATGCTGAACAATATAGTTACTTCGCCATGACGACTCAATATAAAACTGTAAGGTGATTCTATCATTAACTTTAAGACGTGGGTTTCCTGACACAAAATCGAATCGAAATCAAGGGCAAGATAGAAAAAAGAAACTAACCCAGCGTCATTTACGAGTGACAATATCAAGAAAACAATAACGGATGTTGTTAGTTTCACCGCAGCTGAAGTTTTACCTTTTTTTTTAAAGTGTTTTCTATGGTAGCTAGAAAAAAATGGACAGTTGCTCACTCGGCCACTATCTCGCTACGGAAACATCCACAAGAATTTTGAATAAAATATTGAAATGCATTAATAAATAAAATTGATTTCTCGTGAGAGAATAATCATCATAATAAACTGATTGATTTATTTGTTCTAGTCTTCAAAAGTTCCTTGAAAGTATGAATACTCTAGAAAATATGTATGCCATAAATTATCAGGATGTGAATGTGAATGAAGAAAAAATCCACATTCGTACTTTTCGCAAGCAACTGTTGTAGACTCACTAGCTAGTAATGTGTTGTATTACTAAATTGTATATATGAAAACTTCACTCAAAGAATTATCAAACAAATAAGTATTATCGCAATCAATTTGTATTACGTTTCATTATGATTTCGTGAACAAAGATGGAAAGCCATTGACTTAAGTTACTTTTAAGAGCACCCTCTTTTCAGATCTAACATAAGTTTTTTCGATCTTAAGATTTTTATTTCTAAAGATGATTTGAATTGTCTTCTATCAGTTGTAAAAAAAAATCAGAACTGTATCAATTCGTATAAATTTTGACAGCTTAGTTACAAGAACATCTAACTTAAATAAAAACATTGTTTTTCTACATGCCAATCTAATGCACTTATCTTATTTAATACGTTGTTTTTTATAAATTGTCGATCAGTGTAAGTTTATTGATGATAACTAGGGTTATATATCACCTTGCTTTCATAAGACTGTGGGTAAGGGCTTCCTTCATTGACACCAATACCTTCAGCCATCTAAAAGATACTAATAAAGTGAATGAACCAAGTTCTAGACAGGAAATAATCAATGTATGAGAAAGAGAAAAAGCCATGACCTGTATTCATCAACTCGTACAATTAAAGTTTATGTTCACAATCGAGTTCTTTTTAACGCTATAAATATTTTGTGAGAAATAGCTCTTTATACCCACGTTTATAGTGCGACACAAGATCAGTTATAGTACTTCAGAATGAGCAAAAAAGAAAAAAGATCTATGTCAAAAAGAAACAACATTTTATATTTTTTTATGTTTTCACCAAAATCAATTTTTGAAGAAAAAGAAACGAAAGTTTTTCTCGCTTTTCTCCTACAAGATATGAGCAATCGGGCTCAACATTTTTTAATATATATTTTGATTGAATCATGGTGTGCGGATGTAGTTTTTTTGTTCTTCATATCGCTCCTACGACGTTTGACAATCAGTAGAAACGTAGTACCATTGGGAAAAACACGTTTTTCGATGGTGTCCCAAGTACTTTGCTTCTGCTGAACTCTAGGATCGGTATTTTTCCAAGAAAAAAAACGTACATCACAACTCGATCTTCGTCGACACCAAAAAAATGGCAGTTCAGAAAAATGAAGTATAAGTTGTTGAGCGAGAATGGAGACAGTCTATCTTCTATTGTTTAATGTTTGTTCGAACAATAGAATACAATTAATGTATACCTTTGATCAATTCACATACAAGAAATTGTATGCCGTCTTTAATGATGTACTATATAAAACAATAAGATAAATCTGACAAATAAACAATCAATCAAGTTCGTTGAAGATTTTCTAAGAAAGAACAAATTAATCAGTCATTTTTCTGATAGAGATATTATTTTTGACTTTATAATTAAACAAAATATTTACTATATTATTAATTATTTTCTTGTTTTAGACGATAAAAACAACTATGTGAATTAATTTAATATTAAAACGATGTAAACGATGCTCAAGGTCGAGTTACATATTTAACATGCATTTCTTTTTCTTATGAATAATTTTCTTTTTCTCATTGTTTTTTTGCATGGTGATACATTTTCTTTCTATTTTGCTATTTTCTCTTGTACATTTGAGTTTCTTTAGTTTATGAAAATACTACACGTCTTTCTTATCGTTTTCTATTGTTTTTTGCTATTTACTAGTGTACATATGCTAATCAGTGAACTTAATTATGATAGAAAGAAAATTTGCTACAACACATACATGTATTGTATAATATTTACCTGGTTCGATATGTTCCTTTGTTTGCAGGAAAATTAACAATTTACGTGTATACCACAATCATTGATTATCTTGTTAAGTGTGTACGCCCGATTTGTTTTCTTAAATAATCAAACTTCAATAAATTTGTTTAATACATCTGCTTGTATATAAATATACATATGTAGAAATTTGTCAAAAACTATATGATCGAAGAGAATCACTTGTTAAAGGAGTGGCGTGAAATTCTCGGCAAGAATGGTAATGGGAAATCCTATTCAAGTTAGTTTAAGGGTATCCCTCCCCCATCTTTCCGGAGTTTCTGGAGAACGCATCGTCAGAAAATTTTGAAACTTATAGAGCAGATAGATCTCAATAAGTAGAGCAAAAGTTGTCATAGACTCAAAGTTTTCGGATGCTGTTTTCTATGAGATATTGGTGTCACGATGGGTCAAAATTACCGCACTTTTCCTTTCCCTTTCTCCGAGATACTACGTCCGATCGAGCTGAAATTTTGTTTTACAGATACTAGAGACACTATTTGGGGTAGATAATTTCTTTTGGTTTTCTTACATCTTTTCTTTTTCGAATAAAAAAGCCAAAATACTGGAGACACCCTTAAAAACGCTTGTTTTTTTAATAGGGCAAATTTTGTAAAGGCTGCCAAAAATCACCGGAGCAATATTTTGTGAAATAAAAAAAGAATACTCAAGCTAAATAGTGTCTAGTATATGTGAAAAAAGTTGCAGCTTGATATCTCTTACTATGCGGGAAATATGGAGGCGAAACAGTACTTTTTTGCAAAAAATTGATTTTGAGAAAAATGAAAAACAAAATTGAATTTCGGTTTTCTCTTGAATACTCGTTGTTTTTTTTCTTTCTATTGAAGTTTTTTGTAGGCTTTCGGTCACAGTGCATTCGATGACGTCATTTTCACGTCCAGGGAGTACTTTTTTATATCTGCAAGATGCCTGTAGTCAGTGAAAAACAATATATCGATTAAAGATTATCTCCTGTTTTCGTTCCTATTTCACGTCTATCTTGGATAGAGAGAAGAAGACGTGAAAGATAGTGGAAAGCTGTCAACAGTTACTCAAATGATTGACGAACAAATGAACGACACGTAGCTACATTTTGTTGAGTTCTAAATTTCCATCTACTAACCTATTTTTCAGAAGTTTTATAGATTTATCTTGCTTGAAAAATTTTCGAATTAGTCACATTTCGAACAAACTTGATCAGGTGTCTAGAATTAAGTCGAAAGATGACTTACGCATCCCAACATGCGATTCCAACCTGATGCCACCACAAAAATGACACAACTGCAAGCAGTTTAAACGCAAAAATGATATATTTTGAGAAAAAAAGTAAAAAATCCCTTTTTTTCTAGATACGGGATCTCGGAAATCGTTTTTTTTCGAAGTCAAAACATCGTCAAAAGGATTTTTTTCGCAGATCGATAGAGGCCACTTTGAAGTATATTTATCAATGAAAAACAAAAAATCGAAAAAATCTTGATTTTCATGTTAGGAAAGGTGGGGGGGGTATCATTAAGACCGCTCCCTCCAAAATCGATTTTCGATATGATACATGTTATTTTCATGAAACTTTCTGCACATGGTAGACCCAGAGAGTAGTGCTCGGGATGACCACCAGGACCCACGGTAGTCATGGGCACGGCTGTGATCGTGATCGTGACAGTGACCGTGACCATAACTAGAACTTAGTCACGAATAGGCTCGGGTACGAAAATAGTCACATATCCTGTATGTGTGAACTGCAGTAGGTTTTCTACAGAGATTATCCACAATGAATGTTGGTCACACCGTTCACTAGTCGCAACATAATTCATGATAGATGGTACTACTTCTAGATTATTACTGTTAGGTGTAGTCTCATGCTTTGCACAATATAATCATGATCAGAAATGAATATTGTTTTTCGTCATAAGGTTGTATCTCATCTTCAGTAATTTTCGTATTTTTATTATAGATTTTTTCAAATATGACGAAAAACAATATTCATTGTAAATGTAGTTCATCACAACTATCGAGAGTTCTTTCTTCAAAACTTATTTGGAACAGAAACTACTAGATCTCAATATATTTCACATATAACAGTTGATCCAGATTATAAATGAGTCACTTTTCTTCTCTTTTTTTCCCCATTTTAATCATGTCTTATAAGTTTTATTTTAGGCTACTAACGAGGGAACATCGCCAACTGTCAAATCCCTTTTGAGTTCGGACTTTGTGCAAAAGATAGACCCCCGTGAGGTATGAAAAACCTCTAAAGATTAAATCCCTTTAGGCCTTCTGTCCAAAGTTAATGG